TTAGTTCTATGCCTTTTCACCTTATCTCTAGAATGCAGTGTCTTCCACAGGTAAGTGTTATTAATGCTGTGAGTACTTAGAGGGAAAGAATGAGCCATATAATATTGCAATGGAAAACTGCTTTGATTTTAGGCTAAAGAGAATAAAAAATTTGAATGTTTGCTTTCTAAAAGAATCTTATATAATAAAAGGCTAATATGCAAATAGACTGAACAGCAGAACGACCGGTCACTATGACATACACTGACCACCACGGAGGCAGATGCTCAATGCAGGAGCTGCCCGCTGGTGGTCAGTGCACTCCCACAGGCGGAGTGCTGTTCAGCCACAAGCCGGGCTCATGGATGTGAAGCACAAGCCTCTCCCACCTCCTTGGCAATGCTAAGGACCCAGTGGGGGATGTCCAACTGCTGGCTTAGGCCTGGTCCCAGAGGAGGCCAGGCTGAGGGACGGCCTCCTCACAGTGTACGAATGTCATGCACTGTGCCTCTAGTTGTTACATAAAGAAAAAAAGGTAGCTGGTGGTAGAAAAATCAATATTAACATCTACTGATTGTTTTTACATTTGCTTAAATGCCAATAAATGTATACTATGGACTAATGAAGGAAAATGCCTCAAATGCTTTGGGAGTTACAGAAATGTGACCAAATGTGAAGGCAGCCATGGGCACTAGACCCCAGGACAGGGTCCTGTTCTAGCCAAAGCATAATTCATGCATTCATTTAATTAACAAACACTTATTGGGGTGCTGTATATAAAACAAGGAATATATCAGATATGGTAACTGCCTCATGCAGCTCACAGTTTAGTAGGGAATATAAACAAACAAATAAGCAATAAAACCACTGGTGTTGCTATTTAAGACATGCATGGACTGCTGTGGCAGCACAAAGGAAAAACACTGAACTCAGGGTGAAAATGCAAGTGATAGTTGTATCAGGAAGATGTCTCAGTTGAAGAGATATCTAAACGTGGATCTGAAGGATGATCAGGAATTAACTGGGAAGGGGGCAGTAAGGGAAAAAATTCTGGGAGAGGGAATATCACTTCTGAAGGCCTGGGAGCAAAAGAGAACCTGATACATTTGAGTAATTAGACTTTCAGTAGAGGGTAGACTTTCAGTGTGTGTTTGGGGAGAATATAAAGAAGTATGCAAGGCCTTATTATGCAGGACCTGGTAGGTCACACTGCAGAGTTTGGACTTTATTTAAAGACACAGCAGAGAAGACATCCCTCTTACAATATAACAAAACCTACAAAATACCTAGAATTATCTTAATAAGAAATAGGCAAAACTATATGCAAGAACCATAAAATTTTGACAAAGGTTATAAAGAATATAGAAATAAATGAAAGTCCTTGAATGTGAAGACTCATTATTAAAATAATTTTCATTAAGTTAATCTGTAAATTAAATGTAATTTTGATAAAAATCCCACTAAATTTTTCAGGAGTAATTGATAAATTGACTGTAAAATTCATCCGGAAGATGTATAAGATTACAACTTTGAAAAGTAAGAAGGTGGAAGGCTTGCCTTGCCATATTAAAAAAGACACACAATAAAAATAGAGTAACTGAAACTGTATGTGAAGTCAAAATCTTCAGAGGTTGAATTCTGTTCTCCAAAAGGTATGTTCAATATTCCTCATGCTATACTTTACATGGTGCCACATGGGTACTAGACTTATTGGGGCTATCACTTTGTAAGGGGTATATGAATGTCTAATCACTATGCTGAATACTGAAACTAACATAATATAGTATGCCAAGTATAATTGAAAAAGAAGCCTAGCCAACATGACACTCTGGTAGAGCACTGACCTATGGACCAGGAAGTCAAGGTTGGATTTATGGTCAGGGCAAATGCCCAGAATGCAGGCTCAATTCCTAGTGCGGGGTATGCATGAGGCAGCCAATCAACGATTCTATCTCATCACTAATGTTTCTTTCTTTCTTTTTTTTTTAAAATATATTTTATTGATTTTGTACAGAGAGGAAGGGAAGAGATAGAGTCAGAAACATCGATGAGAGAGAGTCATCGATCAGCTGCCTCTTGCACACCCCCTACTGGGGATATGCCCGCAACCAAGGTACATGCCCTTGACCGGAATCGAACCTGGGACCTTTCAGTCCCCAAGCCGACGCTCTATCCATTGAGCCAAACCGGTCCCGGCTCATCACCAATGTTTCTATCTCTCTCTCCCTTCATCTCTGAAATCTATAAAAATATATTTATAAAAAGAAAAATAAAATTAAAAAAACTGTTTAAAAGGTATGTATAAGTTCTAATACCCTGTACCTGTGAATGTAATCTTATTTGAAAATAGGGTCTTTGCAGATATAATAATATTAAGATGAGGTCAAACTGGAGTAGGATGAGCCCTAAACCAATAGACTGGTGTCTTTATAAGAAGAGTAAAATTTGGATACAGAAACACACAGGGAGCATGCCATGTGACAATGGAGGTAGAGGTTGGAGTGATGTGTTTTACACCACTTAGCTTGTGGTACTTTATTAGGATAACCTTAGGAAACTGATACAATTGGTTATGTGGCAAATTTATACATGATAAAAGAAGGATCTTAAATGAGTGGGGATGAATATTTTTTTAAAGTTTGTTTTTATTTCAGAGAGAAGAAGGGAGAGAGAAAGAGAGAATCATCAATGATGTGAGAGAATCATCGACTGGTAGCCACATGCACTCTCCCCACTGGGAATCAAGCCCACAACCTGGGCATATGCCCTGACTAGGAATAGAACCATGACCTCCTGGTTCATAGGTCTACACTCAACCACTTAGCCACACAGCCAGCTGAATGTATTTTATGTATTCAATAAGTAGAGATTAGGACAATAGGCTATTTATTTAAAAAGGTTAGATTTCTATGTCACAGTAGGAACTAAAATTCCAAGTAGATCACAGAGCTAAATGCAAAAAATAAAACCATAAAAGTGGTAGATGAAGATATAAGAGGATATGTTTATAACCTTGGTGCAAGAAAGGATTTTCTAACCAAAAATGAAACCCAGTAGCCAGATCTGATTCCTCAAAAATGAAAACTTCTGTACATATGCAATAACGAACAGCATAATCAATCTTAAACAGGGAGAAAATATTTGTAAGAAATGTTATAAACATGGAATTAATATCCAGAATATATACAAAAATAATATAGATCATAAGGAGACAAGTAACCCCAAAGAAAACTGGACCAACATAAAAATACAAAAGCCAATAATGTGTGGATACTCAACTTCACTAATAATCAAATGAGATGCAAATTGAATGAGAAAGTATTATTGATTTAGAGTGGCCTAAATTAAAAATAACTTCTGATAATATATGCAATGTTGAATATCCTGCTTGACCATACCCTATTCAATATGGAATTAAGTTTTTGTTAGATGGGCAATTTAGCAGTGTCTACTGAGATTTAAATGTTCATACCCTTTGTTCCAGCTCATTCTTTTCTAAGACTACTAGTAGCCTGGTGCATGAATTTGTGCACAATGAAAGGAAATTAGAAAAAATATTTTAATATCACTATTTAACCTTTCTCTATAATAGAAGTGTCAACCAAATTCACAACCGACAATGACAAATTGAAACACATGTGTGCAACTGGTGCCAGTGAGAGCTTTATATGGATGTGCAAGTCAAATTAGCCTTTTATAGATATAGAATGAACTTGCCTAATTAGACCTGCTTTCTGATTTAGCTAAACTTTTTCCAACCCAGTGAAGCTCCCCAACTTCTTTCAGGTAATTGTCAGAAACACAGCAGTAAATATCAACATGAAGCAGATTATTATTGTCAGTCATGCAGGAAGAACAAAGGGTAAAATATTTAACTGTTGCAGTGTTTGACTATATTCTACACAGTGAGAAACCTAAAGTCAGTTTCAAGGTCCACCATTTCTTACTTCTTTTCATCAAGTTAAGTTTCTAAGCTTTCTAAATCTCTTGTTTTGGCTAATAAAAAAATAGGATTTCACCGAGTCTCCTATTCACCTACTCTAGGATTTCTGTGAGGATTAAATGAGATGAGGTATGGGAAAATGCTTCACAGACATTTGGTTATAGTGTAATATGTTTCACCTGGCTATAAAGCAAGTCATGTCCCTGGGCTGAATAAACTTAACTCTAAGGAGGCTAGTCACTAGGGAGAGTAAGCTGGGCATTGCAACATGATGTCATTACCCAGACAGACACTTAGCATATTAGCCTTTTATATATAGATTAGAGGCCTGATGCACAAAATCTGTGCAAGAGTAGGTCTTCCTTCCCCTGGGTGCCAGCACTGTCTTCCCTCTGGCACCCGGGACCTGGGCTTCCCTCAGGCCGCTGGCAGGCACCTGAGACCCAGACTTTCCTCCCAGCCCTGGCTTCATCTGGAAGGATGTCCAATCTATTTAGCATATCATGCTTTTATTATTATAGATATTTTACTGAAACACAAGTTCCCAAAAATAAATAGGGTAAATTACATTAGTATAAGACATGCATAAAACAGCATTATGCAACCATTTAAAATATACAGATCTACATTTTTGTCATAAAAGATGTTTAAGATATTACTAGTAAATGAAAATGAGTTACAGAATATATGTATTTTATAAATAGCAATAATTGTCTTATGTACAGAACAAGAAGAAAATAATAATTGAGCTGCTATCAATGGATATCTTGCATGGAATGACAATCTATTTACTACTCTCCAATAAATCTATGATTTAATTAAAAAATAAGCTTTAAGGTACTAATGAAACTTTGAACAATATGAAAACAATTTTTTTCATTCTTTTAAATCAGTTTTTATCAGTTTCTAAGTGTCACTGGCATATTCAAGAATGAATTTTTTAAAAAATTCTTGTGAAAGCATCAACAATTTTATAATACTATAAAATTCATTATTTTGCTCAGTTTAAAAGTATAAACACTTAAAATTTATGGTACTTGATTTATCTATATCCCTTATTATATAATATTTTACTTACAGTTTGTGGATTAATCTCTTCCTCTCCCATAGGTTCATCCATAATTTGCTGTCCATTCTGTGAAAAGCAGAGCAAGTAGAAAGTTACCAAAGCAGATCTTACAACAGTTAAAATTAAATGAAGGCAGACATAACAAAATCACATAGAAATATTTTTACCCCTAAAGGGTTCTAATAAAGTACAAAACAACTATATAAGTAAGCAGTTGCCAATTTGCAACAGGGCTGTGCTTCAAAAGTTAACATGTAAATTGTTTATTTTAAACTATGAAAACATTTTTCAATGGAAATGATATAATAAGTGATAATTACCTTTCCAGGTGAGCTCTTGAATTTATTTTAATAGTTAAATGCATTAAAAATGATCCTATTCAAACCTTATCAAACTTCATTTACAACACTTTCTATGGTAAAAACATTCTAAATTCCATCTCCATTGATAATTAATCAGGGCAACTGATTAATTATTTCAGGGCAAAATTAAGCTAGATCTCTATATCAAAATAGATTCCAAATAGATTAAACATTTAAATGTTAAAAAATTCAAAAGTGCTGTCAAATCTTTGAGGGAAGGTGGGGGTGGCTAGTTGGGTGGGAAGAGATTAACTAAAGAACTTATATGCATAAACGCCTAAGCCATGGACACAGACAATAGTGTAGTGAAGGTCTTGGGGGGATGGGTGCAGGGTGGAAGGGGTCAATGGGGAAAAATGAAACATCTGTAATACTTTCAACAATAAAAATAAATTTTAAAAATATGTCAAAAAGAAAACTATAGGAGTATTAGAAGAAAATACAGGTGATTAATACTTATGGGGTAAGTAGGGTGAAAGTAATGAAGAAAAAATTGACATTTGAGTCCATAAAAAATTCTACTAGACACAAAAAAGTTAAAAGACAAATTAATTACAAAAAAATAAAAGCAACATATGACAAAGGTTTGGTATCCTCAATACATAAAGAGCTTTGTTTTACAAACCTGTAAGAAAAAATGATGAACCTCAACAGAAAAGAGCAATAAGGGAAAAAAAGAGTTCAGCCTTAATACTAATCAAGAAAATGCATTTAACCAAAAGATACCTCTGCCTTTCAAATTGGTAATGATTTACAGAAGAAATAACAGTTAGCACTACTATTGGGGAAAAAACAATCAGGATATACTACTAGATAAAGTGTAAATCAGTTCAACCTTTCAGGAAGGCAATATAAGTCTGTATTAAAAACGGCCCATCATTTCGACTTTTTTTTTTTAAACAATGGACAAGTGTGCAAAGATGTACATACAAGAATGCTCACCATAATTTTTTCCAAAAAGAACTCCAAATTGGAAATCTAAATTCCTAACAATAGAGAACTAGTTAAATATATTTGGTACATCCACATTATGGCATACTATGCAGTCATTAAAAATGACAAAGATGTAAATTTATTGACATGAAAAGACAGTCACATGTAATAAGTGAAAAAGCAGTTTACAAAACAATATGATTGTAATGATCCCATTTTAAATAAATATATACATGTTTCAATGTATATATTTCTATGGGAAAAACTCTGGAAGGATATACATCAAAATGTTAATAATGGTTATCTCTGGGTGGTAGAATTTTAGACAATTTAAATTGTTGCTTTGATTGTTTGAATTTCCTAATGTTTCTACAATGAATATGTATAATTTGTGTAATTTAAAGTAAAATAAAACAAAACCAGAGTCAGGATCATATAGTGTCTTCTCCAGTTCCCTCACTGAAAAAGGCGTAAATTCCCTTGGCCACTTGTTAATTGAGCAAATGGACAAGAATCTAAGCTAACCATCTTTGGAGCATTATCAACTAGAAAATAAAAAGTAACCCACTCACTACTCTATACCCATCATGAGGCAGCTGCTCTGAATTTTAACTCCTTTCTCTATTCTCCCCATCCCTATTTATCCATCCATCCATCCATCCATCCATCCATCCATCCATCCATCCATTTCAAGCTGGAAGAAAGGTTAACAAACATGGCCCCCATCCTAGAGATCCATCCTAGAGGATCTCACAATTCTACTAACCCATAAAAAAGGGTAGCTTTCATTTTAAAACACTCATAGAGTATGTTCCTATATTAGGAAATACCTATACAATGTTACAAAGCACAGGAATAGTGCCAAAATGCAGAAAAGGGAAGGCGGGTATAAGATCTTTATTTTCCTAAGACATTTTCAGAGGTCCATTTCTATGGTAAAGACTCAACTCCAAGAGACATCTTTCTACTAAAAGCCATGACCATTTATTTCTACTGAACACTGATTATTTTTATTCGGGCATCCCAGGTGAAACTTAAAACTAGCTCTAAAACACTGACTGGCTTTGGAGTCAGAAACCTAGATCAGATATGATTTAAACTATCTAAGCTTTACTTTCTTCATTTGGAAAGTAAAGATTAAAAAGTCTTATCTTCAGAGTATTTTGAAGACTAAATGAGATAAGTGATATAAAACCCTAAACACTGTGCCTGGCACCTAGTATTTTAATTATATCCAAAATTCAATTCAATCACACCCTCTGGGGCCCACCAATCTGCTATTTCTCCTGTGTTTGGTATCTTAGTGAATGTTATCATTATTCATCTAGTAACCCAAACTACACTTTCTCATTAATTGTAGAGGTTTCTCTTTCTATAATAATCTGCTCAACATCTCTTCTAATATTAGGCTTTTAGATCCCAAATCTAACTAGAGCTATACTTACATTTTCCACAGAAATTTAATTTGAGTACCATCTGCTCCCTGTGACTTTCATGTATGCAAAGCAAGAATCACAACTTATAACTTACTTTTAAGGCAAACTGGTACAGAAGAAACATTAAACTTGGAATTGGTAGACCAGGGGTAGAGTCCTAGGTCTACCACTTTGAAGCTTTTTTGGGGGCAATTGAGATTTTCTCCTGTTACTTTATCTGTTCAAAATGAGGATACTTGCCCTGTCTACCCAATGGGTCATTGTTAGGCTCAAAACTGAGTTAACTCACAAGAAAGCAGTTTAGAAAACTATAGAGCTATATATATCAATGCAAATAACTATTAAGGTGAGGTAGATTATTGAGGATAAAATAATACTCCATAAAGTCCCTTTGATTTTAGAATAAAAAGAAGTTTAGGATTTGTAGGGAATCTTAAAAGTCTTCTGTTCCAAATATACATCATATGCTTTGGTTCTTTCTATACCATTCTCATCTATATTTGAACACTATCAAGACAAGAATGTACTACTTCACCTGAGAAAAAGCTTTGGCTGCTAGATAAAATTCATTATATAGTAACTTTCCTCAGCAACCAATTCCCTTTAAGGGGATTATTAATATATGATGGCTAACTTGCTTGCACTATATTTGCAAAGTCACAGGAAGCAAATCTATAGCTATAACTACAAACCACACCAAGGCTGTTCTTTTCTAGATAGCTCAAGTTCCTTTTACACAGACTATCTTCTTTCTGAGCATGCAACCAATTCCTCTTAAAGAGTGGTATACAGAATTGCATGCAGTGAACATTCCAACCTTGATATGATCAATGTAAAGGGCATATCCCCTCTACTGTCTTAAATAACTTTAATATTAATGCAATTTATACATGCAATATTTTGGGAATGGCACAACACAATGCTGAGCCATACTAAGTTATCTGTAGATTAAATCCTCATCTTTTTTTATTTATTAAATTGATTGGGGTGACATTGGTCAACATGGAACATACAGGTTTCAGGTGTGGGTTTCTATGTTACAAGATCTGTATATTACACAGTGTGCCCACTACCCAAAGTCAAATAAATCTTCTCCTGTCACCTTATATGAGGACCCCTTTCTCCTCTACTTGTCGTCTTTATTTACATTACAACTAAGTCCTGTAACCTCTATTTTGTACTTGTTACTCATAGTCTCATGAACAAAATCTTAGATTTTAAATTTTTGTTTCATCTTTTTCCAGTTCTGATCTATGGCTAGCTTCTATAGATTAGATTCCAAATCTGGCTATCAGCCTCTTTACTATTTTCAGCTTCATGTGATCCATAAATTTTACAAAATTTTTTTTTCTTAACTCATTACCCAGCTAATTAACAAAGCAATCCAAGAAAAAAAACATTGAGTAAAACATGATCTAAAGGTATTTTATGCTCTATTTTTTGCAAAAATATCTACCTCTTTTCTGAGTTCAGCAAAGATTAAAATTTTGAACAATTTAATTTTTAAGCAAGAAAATATGGAGGCTAATAGCAGTGCAGTATCTTTACAAAGATCTACCAAAAACGAATTTTTACTTCAACAAATGTTTGGTATCATTTCATCACAACAAGGATTCAAATGTTATCTGTTATAAATGCACAGTTAGTTCTGTGGCTAAGAAGTTTCCCTTTTGAAAAATGACTCTTGGCTTCGTTAAAGATTAGGTTACATGGACCATCAGCCAGACTCAATATTGCAATTCTTATAGTTCTAAAAGTTCAAGAAATAGCATCTATTAAACTCGAAAACTTACTCCTCTAATTCAAAGAAACAGAAAACAGGTTGTCTGAATCTGGCTAGTACCATATTTAAACCCCATCCTCTCACTTACTGCTATAGATATCTGACCTTGGGTAAGTTACTTACATTTTGAGCCTCAGCTTCTTCATCTATAAGATGCATATAATATCTTCCTCACTGTAATGCTGTAATTAAAAGGATTCACCAAGGGACAGTAGAAGCTCAGAAAATGCTACTTCCTGTCCCTTTTGCTTCAATTGACTGTGAAACACTTAACATTTCTATAGGTAACTTCTAAATGCAATTCAGTGAACAACTACAGGAGAGTGTTGAAGATACCTGTTTCACCACTTAGTACAGCCAAATTCCTATCAAGCAGGTTGGAAGAGATCTTTCATATGCATGATATATTTTTATACAATGTGACTAAAGAATGAGAGCAGACAAAAAAAATAGTTTAAAAGAGAGGCAAATGTATTTATCCTCTCTCATCCCACCATAATGCCTTCCAGCCAAAAAAAAAAACTGCAAAGCTTGGCAGATTGTACATATGCA